AAAATTTTCATAAAGTGGTATACAAGGTTTATTTTTTTTCTGCAACCTTATATATATTGGTTTATAATTTTTGCTAACAGTATTAAGTGCCACCTCATGGTTTAACCTCATTGCATTTTCTCAGTTACTGGTTGCTTAACTGATTCTTTACTCCTGTGTCTTTTTTTTTTTCTTTTTCTATGTCTCTTTTTATAGTGTTTGATTGTCCTTTAGAGATTTAGAGTTTACTTTATTTTTGAGACAGAGTCTCACTCTGTTGCCTGGGCTAGAGTGTAGTGGCATCAGCCTAGCTCACAGCAACCTCTAACTCTTGGGCTCAAATAGCTGTGACTACAGGTGCATGCTATCATGCCCAGCTAATTTTTTCTATTTTTAGTAGAGATGGGGTCTTGCTCTTGCTCAGGCTGGTCTTGAACCTCTGACCTCAAACAATCCTCCCCCTCAGCTTCTCAAAGTGCAGGGATTATAGGCATGAGCCACTGTGCCCGGCAGAAGTTTATTTTAGAGATTTATATAAGCTCTTAATATATTTTAGGTACAATTTTTAAAAATTGTGATAAAATATACATAGCATGAAATTTACCATTCAAATAATTGAAAGTGTATAATTCAGTGACATTAAGTACAGTCACATGTTGTACGACTATCACCACTACTATCCATTTCCAGAACTTTTTCATCATCCCAAACTGAAACTCTGTGCCCATTAAACAGTAACATTCCCCTCTTGCCCCTAGTCTCTGGTAATCTCTATTCTACTTTCTGTCTCTGTGAATTTCTCTAGTCCAGGTACCTCATATAAGTGGAATAAGTTATCCCTTGTGTCTGGCTTATTTCACTTGGCATAATGCTTTCAAGATTCCTACATATTGTAGCATGTATCAGAATTTTATTCCTTTTTGAGGCTGAATCACATTCCATTGTATGTATATATCACATTTTGTTGATCCCATTCCTCCACTGATGGGCATTGGGTTGTCTCCACCTTTTGGCTATATTGTGAATAGTGTTACTGTGAACATGGGTGTACAAATACCTGTTTGAGTCCAAGCTTTCAGTTCTTCTGGTTGTCTACCTAGGAGTGGAATTGCTGGATCATATGGTAATTCTGTGTTTAACTTTTTGAGGAACCTCCATACTGTTTTCCACAGTGGCTATGTCTTTTCACATTCCGAGCAGCAACGCATGAAGCTTCCAGTTTCTTCATGTCCTTGCTGACACTTGTTATTTTCTGGGGTTTTTTGGACAATAGCCATCCTAATGAATGTGAAGTGTCTAGGTACCAGTTTTATGTGTTATATTTATGATTATAGATTTCCCCCTATATCAGTGTTTTCTATTTTATTTTACTTGTGGGACTTTTATAGAAAAGGAGTTAAAAAATGTAAAAATAATTGTGCCTGAGCACTTTTAAAATATGTATAATTTTGCCTTTTGCTTCAATAAGTGAAAAAGTTGTCTTGTCTGTAAATGGGGTAAATACTTTTTTCTGTTTTCTTTTACTTTCATTCCCTATGATGTATGTCAAATATAAATAAATATCCCCTTGGAATTTATAGTGATATATGATATATGCATGACTATAATATATATAATATCACTATGAATATATATATTTATATATAACATATTATCATATTAGGCATATATACATAAAATGAGAGCTAGGTCTAAGTTAATTTTTTCCTACATTGGGATTTGTTATCACAGAGACATTAGGTAAACAGTTTCTTTCTTTTTTGTTTTTTTTTTTGAGACAGAATCTCTCTTTGTTGTCCAGGCTAGAGTGAGTGCCGTGGCATCAGCCTAGCTCACAGCAACCTCAAACTCCTGGGCTCAAGCAATCCTGCTGCCTTAGCCTCCCGAGTAGCTGGGACTACAGGCATGCGCTACCATGCCCGGCTAATTTTTTCTATATATATATTAGTTGGCCAATTAATTTCTTTCTATTTATAGTAGAGACAGGGTCTCGCTCTTGCTCAGGCTGGTTTCGAACTCCTGACCTGGAGCAATCTGCCTGCCTCAGCCTCCCAGAGTGCTAGGATTACAGGCGTGAGCCACCGCGCCCGGCCCAGTTTCTTTTTTCACTGTGATTTTACTTTGTGTTTATCTCCACATTTTTATATACAGTGAGAATTTGTTTCTTGCCTTGAGTAAGTCCCATATAATTTTGATTATTGATATATTAGAGTATTTTTTCAATGTCTAGAAGAGCTAGTTTTACCTTATTACTTTTCTCTGTGATATTCTTAAATAGTTCATAAATTTTCAAATTTATGAACATTTTTGAATTCTTAGAAGCATGGTGGAATGTAAGTAGGAATTACGTTAATGTATATATTAACCTTCCCATCAATCAGGTAACATGGTATGGCTTTGTCCATTTTTAAGTCTCTCTCCTTTTTCCCCCCATGTTTTAACCTTTTCTTTATGTAAGCTTCACTCATCCCATTCCACGTTAATTATAAAGTGTTTTTCTAGTTCTGGTTGTTCTTATGGCAGGGTATGTTTTTGTGTTGCATGGGTGAGAGATACTGACTGCTTTACTGTGGATCTTGTGTTTTGAGCTGACCTTCAGGAGAAAAAGCTTCTATTGTTGGCCATGGCCTTCTACGTGCCTGAGTGTAGAGGCTGCAGAGACCTGAGCGTACACCACACCACGAGCTTGTGCCACGCCACACACACCTAGGCATCTTGGAACCCACAGCGAGCTGGCAGCACGTCTAAGATTAAGAAAAAGTATTTCCAATTCCTGATCTTTTTTTTGGCTGGGACTAGATTATGTCTCAGTCCTGCATGAATATGAGATTCATAAAGTCAGAATGTTTTACCAACATTACAGAGGGAACTTTGTGAAGTACCCACAGTTGCAGGAACCAAGGCCTGTGCATCTTACCACAGAACCTGCATGGGAAGGAAAGCACCCCGATTTAAAACCTGTACGGGAAGCTATCTGTGCCATGTTCATCTCCCTCTCCCCCTGTTTTATCTCACAGTGTTCTGGGTTTGACTACCGCTTCTGCTTGCTGACTGCATGGCCCCTCTGTGAGTGATCCCTGTGAGCCTCAGTTTTGTCTTCAGTGAAATGGAAATAATAATAATATCTTCCTCATAAGGCCATTGGGAGGATAAACGAGCTAATAAAAGTGAACTTACTAAAGGCAATGCAGGATCCTGGATTGGATCTTGGAACAGAAAAGGAGCATTAATGGAAAAGCTAGTGAAATCCAAAAAAAGTCTGGGGTTTAGTTAATAGTAATATACTAATTAATTTTTTTTTTAGCCTTGACAAATGTGCCATAGTTATGTACAATAGTAATATTAGGAGGAACTTGTTGAAGGGCATACTGTTCTTTTTAAGTTTTCTGTATATCCAGAATTATTCCAAAGTAAAACTTTTTTGTTTTAAAGAAACTGTTTTACAAATGATATTGTTACACAAACGTCGAGTGGTTTTATTTCAAATATCTTTCTTTCACTAGATATTAGGTTTATTGAGCAAGTAGTTTTTGAACAAATATTTCTCAAATGCCATTTTGCTAAGCACCATGAACAGTGTAAAGAGGTATAAGATAAGGCCTCCGCCCTGTAATCTGTTCTAGGGAAAAAAGTGGAAAACACACCTCAGCTAAGTACAATACAACAGATGTCACAGGGGCTGTGTGGCTCAGTCGCCGAGACCACAGGTGCTGTGGGCTGTGTGAAGGTGGACGCTCGCTCTGGGCTGCAGAGGTTGGGAGGGCATCTGGGGAAGAGGCTGATGGGAGCAAGGAGACAGAGCAAGAACACAGGAGTTAGAGAGTGGAAGTGTAGTGAACAGTGAGGAAAGCAAATTTGTCCTTGCTTTCAAGAAGCGTGCATTGTTTTAGGGGAGATAAGGTGTATATATCAAGTAATTAGGATTAAAAGTTAGGGGACATTGGCTATATTGAATAAACATAAAATATAAAATAACAGCAATTCTCTAAGGCACAATGAAATTGTAACACCTTGTCTTTGACAATCCAGTTTTTCTCTCTATGTGAAACCCCGTCGTGCTTGAGTATGGTGCCCTGTCACTGGTTTACCAGGGTGACCATGGGCCAGCAACTATTTGTTGGAATTTAATTTCTTGTCGCTATAAGCTGTGATGGGGTGGATTTCCCTCTGAGGTTCTTTTAAGCTCTCACAGTCAAAAGTATACACACACAGACGTACACACACACTCTTTGAAAGCAGAAGAGTATAAGCATGGGCATGCAAAGCTTGTTGATGCTAGGACGTCTGGTTTTCATATTTCTTGGTTTCCAAATCTGAACTCCAGGTGTAGCACAAATTCTTAAATGGCTGAGCTACTCTGGTCAGTCAGAGGCTCCTGGATGGCCCCGTGGACATCTGCAGTCCGGTGGGAACCCTTCTAACTAGATCTGCAGCTGCCTGAACAGTCGGATCCAAATGGTGTTGGTGGGAGGGTCTTCTCCATCGGTAGGGTTCTGCTTTTGTTCTTTTCCTGGTCAGTAATTTCATGGTAATCATTTTAAATAATAGTACATGTATGTTATTAAAACTCTAAATGTATAAAAGGTTAAACAGTATAAAGAATGCCTTTTTCCTATTCTGTCAGCCTTCCAGTTATTCCCTAGAGGCAACCACGATTATCTTTTGTGTGATTCTTCCGAAGATATTTATTGACTATACAAGCATATGTGTGTATATTCTTTGAAAACACACGTGTGTACGTATACAGACACACACATACACACAGAAATGATAGAACATTATGTACATTGTTCTGCACTTTCCCATTTAGTAATTATCTTGGAAGTTTTCTGTAGTACTTGAAGCCCACTTGAAGAACTGTGTGCCCCTCACCTCCCTCGGCTACATCTAGCCAAGGATGGGGACCATTTTAATATCAATAAGAACATTACCGCCGTGGATCAAGTTATTTTAAATATGTTTAAGTCCAATACCTCATAAGGATTTTTAAACAAAAAAAACCTTTATTGTTTATTTTTTAGAGGATACAAGAAAATCACCTCATTATTCTGGAAACTGGCAAAGGGAAAGAATCAAGCATTTCTCCTGACTTTCCTTCCCAGACTGACTCTCAAGGTAGCCAGATGGTTGATAAGAGGAAGTTTCTCTTGACGCAAGTATTCCAGCTAATAAGCGAGAAGGGCATGATAGAATTAGGATATTACGATTTTTACAACCTCCAAATGAACTATTTAATGATTTAAGTCAATTTCTGAACTTTCTTGTTTATCTGACACCTTTGTGCGTCAGTACCACATTGGTTTAATTGTTGTGGCTTTACAGTATGTTTTAATACTTTAGAGAACAAATTCCTCCTATATGTACATTTAACACTCTTCTTTAGAATTTTTACAGCTATTCTTGCATATTTCAGTTTATCTTTATATATTCTTAGAATAAATCCATCTAGCTCTGCAAAAAAGTCATGATATTTTTAAAAAATTGGAGTTGAGTAAAATTTATAGATTTGAATAGAGAGAATCGCCATCTGTTGTGTTTTACCAGCTTGGCTGACGTAGAATGGGAATATAAATATAAAGCCATGCGTTTCTGTTGGAGAAACATTAATTGCACAAGATTTAGTCATTTATTAAACAACTAACTTAGCCTGTATACCAGACAGCATTTCACATAATGGGGAGAGACCCAGTGAATAAATCATAGGTAGTTTCAGGCATCAGGCTCACACCCATTTGTTAAGATCGGGCTTGGTATCCATCTCATCTTATGAAGAAATATTATTTTCAGTGGACCACCAGTCTCCTGTGGGATCACATGGCTACTCAGAGTTTTTATAACGTTGGGTTGAATTAGAGGATGTACAGAGAGAGAGAAGTAGAGTGAGTGAGGGGCGTAAGCTCTGGAGCCAGACAGCAGGGTGGGAATTAGGTGCTCTATCACCTTGGCAGGTTGTTTAGCCTTTTCAAGCCTTAGTTTCCTTGACTGTAAAATGGGAGGTAGTGATTGTACCTGGTGCTGTCAGATGTAACTTGAGAGATTGGTATGAGGCTTAAATGAGATAATCCAAAGTGCTTTGCACCTTGCCTGCCATGTGCTAGTGTTGTACAAATGTCAACTCGCATCATTTAAATTGCCCATCTCATTCTGCTGGTCTGGTGGTATCTGATTTACTACATTCATGTCCTGATATCATCATGTAGGAGAGGCAGTAGAAGATACGTAGAAGAGGGGAGCCAGGTAATAAGGAAAGGGATGGCCTAGAAACATTTAAGAAATAGTAGGCCTTTTTACTGGAAAAGAAAAGGCTAATGAGAAACAGTGGCCAAATACTTACTTTGAATTGCTTTGGGAATAGCGGTGGGAGGACTCAGGCCAGCTTGTGGATTCGGCTTAGGATAAGAAGAAACTTTCTTCTTGAGGAACCTAAAAAAAAAAAAAACTCTCTGGCAAGTTCAGCAGTGGGATGATTCTGTAGTAAGCTCCCTGTCGGAAGAAGTGTTCGGGAAGAATCAGGATAGCCATTTATTAGGGAAACTACAAAAAGAAATTTTGGATTAAGAGGCAGCTGAGGCTAAATGGTGACTAAGGAGCTTTCCTGTGAAATTCTAATGTAAATGTACACATATGCTATCACATATGTGGAAAATTCTCTGCATATGGCTTATACATTTTCAAAGAATTACAGTCCTTTGAAACCTTGTTTGATCCTTTTTGAGTTAGAGAATATTGCAATGCCTTGGGGTCCTTGTGACCATAAGTGATCATCAAAGAAGTGAAGAAATGGAGAAATAAGGAGACTTGGGGACTAGCATATTTCACTGTCTGTCTGTTGTTATCTCAGAGACAAGTCCCTTAGCTTTGGAGATCTTTCTTTTTCATCTAGGGTATTAATCCTTGCTTTCTACTCTGAGCATGAGTCTTTAAAAGAACAAGCACATTATTGTAAGTTTTCTGCCTCTTACAGTGTATGGAGGTTTTTGAAGGAAGGTGCTATTGGTGTCTAGCAGACAGGTGGTAAATTTAAAGAAAAGGGTATGACCCTATGAACCTGACCTTGCTCCATTTAACACCAACACTTTCCTGTTACGTTCTTCTTTCCTGCTATTTTATAGCAATGAGTGTAGCCGCAGTATGTTAGAAAGACCTGATAAAGTTATATAAAAGAGGTAGTATTTAATACATTTATTTCAGACTCATCCCCTGATTTTTTTTTTTTTTTGGACAGGCATTATTAACTTGCTGTAATTTCCAAAGTTATGTTTTGTAAAACTTTTTGTTGTTGCCCAATACAGGTAGGGTGGTAACATTGTGGATACTGTGTTATAACACATTAAACGAAAAGCCTCGTAAGTATAAACAAAGTTCTCATCCTTAGTTGAAATTTTAAAGTATGATTTGTGCATCTTCAGTGAATGATGAATCCACAGCAGCTACCGATGCTGAAGAAACCTCTGTTGTGAGCGTGACATCTGCCACAGCCTTGAATGTGACCCCGAACCCCAACACAACATCTCTCCCTGCTCCGGCCACACCGGCTGAAGGAGAGGAACCCAGCACTTCGGGCACACAGCAGCTCCCAGCGGCCGCCCAGGCCCCCGATGCTCTGCCTGCTGGGTGAGTAGCCTTCCGTCCCACAACAGCTCTTTCCGCCCCAAAGACCAAGGCCTTCTTCATTAGAGCAGAAACAACGTGGTTATTTATTACCCAGCGGCTGGAGGCCTCTGGGGAGGCTGCAGGGCACAGAAGCAAGGGAGGTGTGGAAGAACTGCTTGTTCTGCATAAATCTTAAAAAGAATCTAAATCACCTGGGGTGGAATCAATGCCACCTTATATACTGTGACTTGAAATGAGCAGCTTGACTCCAAGAGTGTGGCTCTCAGGGAACAAGGAGCTCATTTTGCCTTCCTGAATCGTTGGAAGGTGTTTGCCTAGATCTTGCCTAGGAAACAGCTTTTCTCTCTTGAATTTTATCTTATCAGCCTATGGAGGACTTGGGCTTTAGGCTCTGAATGGTGCTGTATGTTTTTCCCGTAGCTGGGGCAGATGTTAACGTGGGCTGTAAGTTTTCTTGCCATCCTTTAGTTCAGAATTAAATTCGATGGCAAAGACCTTGGATGATAAGCAGATGGCCCTCGTCAGCCAAAGGGAAGTTCAAGTTTGGCTCTATAGTGAGTGGAGATTAAGAGCATGTTCCTGGGAATCACATAGTTCTGGGTCTGAATCCACACCCTCCTCCATATGACCGTGGCCAAGGGACTTCCCCTCCATAAGGTGGAGATACTCATACATCTCTCTCCAGGTTGTTGAGGGACTCAACTTAGATGGTGAACATGAAGCACTCTCCAAATGGTGGGCGTCACACCTGGTGAGTGAGACTTTTGAAGTGGTTGTGAAGGAGCAGTAGAGGGAGACCAGGCTTCTGAACCGAGAAATGCATCTTATCTCAGCAACTACTGATCATGGCCAGGGCCAGCCCCGCCGTCCATCCACCCTGGGTAGCTGTTTTGTATGGAGGAAACTCAAGTCCCAATTGCTCCCGTCACCAGCGATTGGCTGATGCTGGCCTGGCGGTGTGTGTGTCCTCTGAGCCATTATAATTCATGAAGGAGAAGGAAGGACATAAGGCCCGTTGCTTGATGTACAATGTGCTGTGTTGTTCTCAAGCCACTTTCAAAAACCCAATTGTTGAAACAAATATCCTAAATCTGAAGGCATATGTGATTCTTACCGCATATGTATTATATGCCTAGCAGTTGGCACGCTACGTAACTCATGACTCAGTATGCTGGATAATTGAAAATTATTACAAATAATTCTTCATAACTCAAACCCAGAGAGAATTAGCGGTCTTGAACGGCAGCTCTGAAAAGTTTTTCCGGGAGGTTTTGGAATCTGTGAAAAGACTACTAACCATTTGTGGGGGAATAAAGCTATTCCCCCACAGAGATTTCTTTTCTCTTTCGTATGTGGTAAGGAATACTCGAAAGACCTTTGTTGGGTTTATAATTTCAAATCTGTATGTTATAATTTGGGGGGAACAGAGTGGAATCATTTTGGCAGAAAGGAGAGAAAATGGCCGCCCGAGTCCCCTGTGAGCTGTTTGTTTTCTTTGCGCTGAGCAAATGCCTGGAAGGCCAGCTTCACTCCTGTGTCAGTCACAGGCAATTAGAACTAATGGCTCAACATGTCTTTATGTAGGGCGTGTGTGAGGGTTACTGTTCTTGGGATTGGGCACTTCCTGTTTCCAGGCAGCTGGAAAACTCCAGGCTCTGAAAACGCTCTTTATTCTAAGTCTGGCAGATTGGGCGGCCCAGGGAAGGCGATTCTCCTCCCTCCTCCTGCCAGAGGCTGAAATACTTTTCCGAGGTAGAGTTTGAGGAGCATCTTCTGCATAGAGCATTCAGAGCATGAGGGGGCCCATATGTGAGTCTGGAGAGGTGGCTCCCTGCTTTAATGTATGTAACAGTCCAGAGCAGGCTACTGGAGATTCGTTCTCCAGCCCACGCGGGCTTCCAGGTGCCCATCGCTAAGACGACTGGGAGTACTCTGGCACTTTGTGGGCCATCTCAGGGCCTGAGGCTTAACCAGCACTGCTGAGTGTGTGATAGTGAGGGCATGACATCTGCAAGTGACCCTTCCAGTTCATAGGCCTGCCATCCCCACCCCAATTTATTTATATGAGTTTGGAAGACTCAGGCAAGGTGGGTTATTAATTTACCCTTGATGTCTTGGCTTCCGGAGTCAGGGGACCCATCAGAGAATGAAATCTGTCATTCTAATTCTAATACCAGGAGAGGGTGTGCTGTGACAGAGGCATTCAAGTGCAATCACCTAGGAAATGCATCCACTTGAATTTGCAGAATGCCTTTGTCTTTCAAGAGGATAAATAAAGGCAGCATCTCACCTGAGCATCTACTAGTGATCAAGTTATATATTAGAGATTTTGCATAATTCATCCTTTCATTAAACAAAATATTCGTTGTTGTTCAAGAGACGTCAGGTCCAGGGCTGGGCATGGCAAATGAAGTGCTCAATAAGGAATGGTCTTTGCACTCAGACTGTTTACAGTGCTGGCTCTGGTCACTCCAGAGCCCCTTGCCTGGGTCAATGCATCCATTCCCTTGCCTTCCTCTGGGATCTGATGCCAATTCCCATGTCTGCATCTTGAGCCCATTCCTCTCCTGACCCACTGCCTGAACAGCTCCATCTGGGGGTCTTAACCTAACCTGTCTGAAATGGAACGTATCAGCTTACTCATCCCATCCTGGGTAGAATCTGGTCTCCCTCCTGCTAGTGGCACCATTGTCCACCCAGGTGACATCAGGCCATGTATCTTTCACCTCTCCCTGACATTGTCCAGTCATCACACCCTGCCTCTGGCCCTCCACGTTGTACTTTCTCAGCTTCTTATACTACTTCTTCTTAGCATTTATTGCAAGTGTCATTTGAATGATGATTTATTGAGTGGCTGCCTCCTCCACCGTACTGAAGTGCCGTACAGGCAGGAAGTGTGTCTCTCTTCTTGGTCCCGTATGCCCAGGACCAGGCATGTAGTGGAACTCCAGGAAATAGTTAAATGAAAGGAAGATTCCATCTCTTAAATAACTCTCAAATCTGCCCACTTTGCTGCTTGCTTTTACAATATTCCAGACCAAATTACTGTGATCTGTCATTCAAGTGACTGTTCTTGCCCTTCCCCAAACCGTTTTAACGTCTTTAAATAAAACTCTGAGCATGACCTTTCGCCACTTAGAAGACTGCAGTGGCTTCTTACTGTCTTTGGGGACAAATTCCCAAATCCTTAAAAAGGCCTAATAAAGTCCCACATGATATGACCCCACCGACCCCTCAAGCCTTCCGTGGAATCGTCTCTCTGCATTGCTCTGGAAGCTTCAGCCATAATAACTGACTTTAGTTCGGCAAATACACCACCCTCTCTCCAGATTGGAGACCCTCCCCCATGCAGGTTGCTCTTTCTGCAGCCTTCCTTGCCGTTTTCCATTAATGTGCCGTACACATTCAAGTATCAGCTTCTTCGGTAATTGCCCTGGGACCCCTTTCCTGATCCCTGGTAGACAAGGTTAAACCATCCCGTGTACTTGCACTGTAGCTCTTCTCACACCTGCTCATGCTCGTTTTGTGTGTCTCTGCCCTGCTGGGCTTTACATGCCATCTATTTTTTTTTTCCTTCTTTCCTGGACTTGGATGAGTGTTTTCTGTTTTTCTGATGCCTGGAAGGAATATTCGATAGGAATATTGCCTTTTAGTCCCAAGAGCAAAGTCAATCCTAATGCCATCATTCCCTGGGTTGACTGGCTCTGGGTTCAAACACACGTCTCATGTGGGTCAGAATGCTCTTCCCTGTTTGACCCCCATGCGCTGGCGGATGCCGAGAGCATGGCTTCCCCTTGCTGAACATATCTGAGCTAAGCTAAACTGCTTTCTGAGGCCTCCAGCTAACTCTGTGTCTTTCCACCTTTATCTTCTCAACTCCTTCTGTCTCCTTTACTGAGCCGTGGGGGCATGTTCTCTTTGGGGGTCCCTTGGGTCTGTTTTTCAGGTTGTCACATTCTTATTTTGCAATTGGCAGCAGATGAGACTCCGATCGTAAAAGATCACACACATCTATATGTTTTAAGAACTGAGGATTACTGAAACTTGGGCTGCCCAAGTCCAAGCACAATACTACTCATCCCTTTCCTCTCTCCCCGTCTCTATACCCTCCTGCCTTCTGTGACTTTCAATTTACTTAGCATGTAAGAAGCCAACTAGAAGGGATTGGAGTTTTCAGGTTGCATGTGTCTCTGAAAAGAGGGGTGGCAGGAAGGTTCGGGTGACACAGTGAGACAGTGTCCAGGCTTCGGGCATTGGGAAACACGGCTGCTTTGGTCAGCTGGCCCCATATCTGGTTTTTCTCAGCGCCAAGCTCGCTTTGGGGACCTGGTGCTCCTTATGAATGAGCCGACTGTGTGTACATGGCTTAGATAAACTCCAAGCGTGTCCCAGTCGCTGCAGCTCCCTCAGTCCCCCACACACAGAGGCACATTATTTGGCCTTGGCAGCCAGCACGCCGCTGTGGTTTCTTACATAACGGAGGGCGTTGTGTTTGGACCGCCGACTTACCTCAGCTCAGCCGTTTCACACCATCCTTTTTCTCCCGCAGTCGTTGGCTGCCCCGTTTCCTGCCTCAGAGTAGAATTAATTGAGGAGGGGTGTTTTCTGGATCTTTCGGATTTGCCATCTCCCCGAGCCCCTGTGCCCAGTTATGGCGCTGCAGAGGCACTTTGCAGAGGTGGTCCTTGGGGACGTTAGCAAGGGTGACAACCTTGTAAGAGTTCTCTGGTGTTTTGTTTGTAGGGACACTCTCAGAGATGTTGGAATGTGGAGCTTCTCTGCTAAGTTATAAACCAGCCGCTGCCATCAAATTTCATTCCAAACTCCATTTCAGCACTAGCCAAGGAGCCTTACCCAAGGAGTTTGAAAGCAGTGCTTCTCAAAACTATTTGAAGAACCATTTCTTTTGTTGTTGTTGTTGTTGTTTTATTTTGATATATTTTTTAATATTCAGGCCTTGTGAATCTCTTTGTCCTTTACTCTGTTCCATGAGACAAATC